CCTTGCATTTTGTTTCCCTTCTCTGCTATTTGTAAGGCCTCATTGGACAGCCAGTTTGCTTTTTTGCATTTCCTTTTCTTTGGGATGGTTTTTGTTGCTGCCTCCTATACAATGTTAGGAGCCTCTATCCAAAGTTCTTCAGGCACTCTGTCCACCAAATCCAGTTCCTTAAATCTGTTCTTCACTTCCACTGTGTATTCATACGGGATTTGGTTTAAATTATACCTGACTTGCCCAGTGGTTTTTCCTACTCTCTTCAGTTTAAGCTTGAATTTTGCAATGAGAAGCTGATGATCAGAGCCACAATCAGCTCCAGGTCTTGTTTGTGCTGACTGTATAGAGCTTCTCCATCTTTGGCTGCAGAGAATAGAATCAGTCTGATTACGGTATTGCCCATCTGGTGATTTCCATGTATAGAGTTGCCTCTTGTGTTGTTGGAAAAGAGTGTGTGTGATGACCAGCTTGTTCTCTTGACAAAACTCTATTAGCCTTTGCCCTGCTTCGTTTTGAACTCCAAGGCCAAACTTCCCTATTGTTCCTTTTATCTCTTGACTTCCTACTTTAGCATTCCAGTCCCTTAGAATGAGAAGAACATCTTTCTTTGGTGTCAGTTCTAGAAGGTGTTGTAAGTCTTCATAGAATTCATCAATTTCAGTCTCCTCAGCATTGGTGGTTGGTGCATAAACTTGGATTATTGTGATGTTGAAAGGTCTGCCTTGGATTCGTATTGACATCATTCTATCATTTTTGAGATTATAACCCATTACAGCTTTTCCCACTCTTTTGTTGACTATGAAGGCTACTCCATTCCTTCTACGGGATTCTTGCCCACAATAGTAGATATGATAATCATCTGAATTGAATTCACCCATACCTGTCCATTTTAGTTCACTGATGCCCATGATGTCAATGTTTATTCTTGCCATTTCTTGTTTGATCACATCCAGTTTATAAGGTTCATAGATCTTACATTCCAGGTTCCTATGCAGTATTTTTTTTTGCAGCATCGGACTTTCCTTTCACTTCCAGAACCATTAGTAGGTCCAAAACTCTGCAGCCAGATTGCTAACTGGGGCTGCCTACAGGGATCACAAAAAAACCGTTTTATAGCAGCTCCACTGGCTGCCAATCCGTCTGGTCACAACTGAAAAGTGCTCATTTTGACTCATAAAGCCCTAAGCAACTTGGGTCCAAGCTATCTCAAGGAGCATGTCTTTCTTTATGAGCCTGCCTATATGTGAAGATTGTCAGGGGAGGCCTTCCTCTCAATCCCACAACTCTCACCAGCCTGTTTGGTGGGAACACGGGAGAAAGCTTTCTCTGTCACTGCTCCCAGACTCTGGAACTCCCTCCCATTGGAGGCCAGACTGGCCCCACCTTTGCTGTCCTTCCGCAAACAAAGATCTTTCTCTTCAGGCAGCCTTTCCCTTAATGATTGGGCAACAGGGAGGGATTTGTAAATGGATGGTTGTGCCTCACTGCTTCGAATGTGGTTTTGGTCTTTTTGTTTACTGTTTTAGCGCTATAATTATTTGAGGCATCTAAAATATTTGCATATATGCTGTGCTTAGCTTTGACGTAATCCACCTTGGGTCCTTTTTAAAGAGAAAGGCAGGGTAAAAATATTTTAAATAAATAAATAAATCTTTTTCCCTTCCTGTGAAGTTGCACCTTACATCAGAGCTTCTGGGGAAATATGCATAGTTTACATTCAACATCTGGGAATATTTGCCCTCCCCCCCACCTGTAGGTTTGATTCAACTCTCAAAAACCTATGGGACTATTGCTGATCATGAGGGAATATTGGAATTTTAGTCAAAAATATCTGAAGGAGCACAAGTTCCCCGATCCTGATAAAAGTGTTATCTCTCTAACCCTCTTTCATGTCTTTCTGACAATCTATAGAGATGTGTTCTGTCTCTTGACAAGAAACTAGAATTAGAATTAGTTTCATATAGTGAATTATATTACACATTTTACGTAATATTAGTAATGTTATATGTACACATTTATGAGGGGTTTTCCAGTGATCACCCCGCAGATATCCTAATCTGGTCTATATCATTAAGTGCTTCAGGACCATAATCAAAGTAGCAGAACGGATTTGATTTATTTTTTAATGGGTTTTTTGAGGATTTAAATTTTTAAAAAATGTTTTTTTTTTACTTAAGCCACCTTTTTTTAAAAATGTTGATTTTTATCCACCCTGCAAAATAGCTCTTTGGTACAGATGAAGAACCATTAAGCCTGCAGGTGTTTCGGCATATGGCTTCCCCAGTCTCTAGTGGTTTCCACCTTGGGTCCCCAGATGTTCTTCCAGATGTTCTTCACCACTAGCGGTGCTCGCCAGGATTTCTGCAAGTTGCAGTCTGCTGGCTGTCGGAGGTCCAAAACATTTTGGTTCCCTACCCCAGCACAGAGGACACAACTGTGTGGCAATTTTGGTGTGGGTTGTAACTAGAAGGATCAGTATAAATAGGAGCATAAAATATAATTTTAGCTGCAAACGATGAGAAAATTCAGACATGTCTGCAAACCTTGTAGTGTCGTCATTTTCCATCTCTCTTGTTTATCTAGATTATAACTGTAGGTACTTGAAGGTAATGGACATCATGCGTAGCTCAGAGCCATCCTGTTTCTGCTACCTTCCAAATGGATCCCTCCACTTAAAAAATATTTGGACAACTATCCAGGTATGGTTAGATGCAGTTAATGTGGTTCAAAATCCCAAATGAAACTGAATTGTATTGGCATCTGTTACTATCTTGGAATTTGCATGTATGAATATTGGGACCATAGCTACAGAATGAATGTTAATGGGCCACAGGAGAATGTCATATGCAAGAAGAATACAGTGGTGCCTCGCTTAATGACAACAATCTGTTCCAGGAAAATCGCCGTTAAGCGAAAACATCGTAAAATGAAATTAAAAAGCCCATTGAAACGCATTGAAACCCATTTAATGCGTTCCAGTGGGGTAAAAACTCACCATCCATCAAAGATTCTCCATACGGTGGCCATTTTCGCTGCCTGTATAGCAAGGAATCTGTCCCTAAACACCATTTAGGGCCAGATTTAAGCACCCGGCGGCCATTTTGAAACCACCGATCAGCTGTTAAAAAACATTGTTTTGCAAAGAATCGGTCCCCGAAGCAGGGAACCGATCATCGCAAAGCGAAAAAACCCTATTTAGACCATTGTTTTGCAATCGCAAAAAGATCGTTGTACAGCGATTTCATCGTAATGCAGGGCAATCCTTAAGCAAGGCATCACTATAAAATTGGCTGTGAAAAGAAGCATGGTATGGTGCTTTGTATTCAGTTCTAGTCTGTGGCATGGAGTCATGGGATTTTAACTCCCCCTGGGATAAAAAAAAAAGGCAGTCTCTCTCTCTCTCTCTCTCTCTCTCTCGCCCTTGCCACTGACCATTATTACTTGGCTGGAAGGTTTGAGCTTTCTGTTTTATGGGTCTTATGATTTCTTAGTCTATATATATGAGTAGCAGTTTCCAATACAGCAACCAATACATGACTGTCCAGAAGTAAGTCTGATTCGACACAGCAGAACTTACTTCTGATTAAGCATGCATAGCGTTGCTACGTAAAGATAAGTCTATACTGTAAACATACGTTGATTTTATAAATCAATCCTTGTTTCAAATGGAATGCTGGGAATTGTGTGATGAAGAGTGCCAAAAATCCTATGTCGAGTGATCCCCAACTTCCCTTCACACAAAATGTTTGTTTCCACAGCCTTCTCGTTAGAAAAACCAGGCTGGGCTTATTGGTCTGAGTGAGTGGCGACCTTAGGTAGAAGGTTTGTGTTTTCATGAAAAGGCAGTGCAATATTAGTTATTAGTCTGCTATTAATGTCTTTTACTGTCAGAGTTGGGAAGAAATCTTGTGAGGACGGCTGCTTCAGGAACTAGAATAATGTGGCTGGCCTTGATTACTCTGCCAGCTCGAAAGTTGCCATAGATTTTATATGACCTGAATGGGGGGAAAGGATGCCTCACCCTGATATGTGGGGCTGTCCCCCTTACTCAGACCATGGGCCACCCGGAGGAGTGCTGTGTGGTGCTGTGTCTCAGGCAGCAAATTGTCTTGGACATGCTGTGCTGACAAATCAGTCTGAAGTATAAACAGGCCCCTGAGGAAACTCTCAGAGGACCATCAGTGTGCCTGAAAAGAATAGGATGATGGCAGAAGTATCCTCTGCTTCTCTGTTAGAACATCTTGCCCCCAAAGAGTCTTTTTCACCTCTGCTTATTTCTCGTTGAGTTAAAAGAGACCATAGGTTAAAAAAGAAATGAAGTAGAACCAGGTTTTTTGGCCTTATTTAGCTTGAAATTAAATAAACTTTCTGATCAAAAGTCTGAAGTTTAATATAGTAAATCATATTAAAGTAGGCCCATTGAATCCATTGAGATTTAGTGAGTCAACTCCATAAGTTTGATTGATTCAAATGGGCCTACTCTGGTTGAGACTTACTATGCTAAATGAAGTCAGAGTAGGCTTATCGGAATCAATTAAACTTATGGAGGCGTTGACTTACTAAATCTCTACTGATTCAATGGGCTCATATTAATGCAATTTGTTACATTAAACAACAGGATTTTGGCCGGTTTCTTAAAAGAAGGAGAGGCACAGTGGTGTCCTCTAGATGTTTTGAACAACAGCTCCCATGATCCCTGGCCATTGACCATTTTGGCTAGTGCATATAGGAGTTGTAACTAAAACCTATGGAAAGTGTCAGGTTGTTTTGGTTAGGAAGAATCTCAGACATTGGCTCTGGTTAGAATCCTGAGGCTGTATACAGACTGATTTTCAGAAGTCAGTTTTGGTACTCTCAAAGTGTTAAGCCAAGATTCTGGGTTCATCCTGGCTTGGCATGAATAAGCAGCGTGCAGCTACACATGGCATTTTGGCCTTATTGCTTTGCTTGCTTGTGAACAGGTACACAAAATAGAAGTGAGTGGCCTAGTGTTACATCTGAATTTCACATCCTGGTTTGTTGCTTCCACTGAAACCTGGGTTATGAGTCAGGGGTCAGACAGATGATGGTTTGTGGATTCTGGCTTGTTTGTGAACAGCAGACCAGGATCCTGGCTGCAGAGAAAACACTAATCCGAGCATTTGTGGTTTATTTGCCCACCCATATAAACAGGTAGTAAGCATCAGGATTTCTACCTTGAAATGATATGTAAACAAGGCCAGAAATAAATCATAAAAATTATATGAGTCCTGCTTATTTGTCATATTGTTTTGTCATTTTCTTTTTTCGTGTGAACAAACCTGTATGGGTGAGGCAGGATTCATATTATCTTCTTTTCCAGGTGAAAATAAATAGCATTGAACCAGTTGAGGTGGTTTCTATCTCAGAGGAACGGAACTGTCATCAGTCAGAAAATCTGTTTGCCTTTTTAAAGTGCCTCTTGAACAATCTCTGGCAGCCAAGGGTATCTAAAGAAACAGTCATTTCAGTGGCCTACTATGGAGACAAAACGTGTCTCAGGGTCCAGCCTACAAATAAAATGCCCTACACTGTGAGTGTACAACAAAACAGTGAGTAAATTTTAGAAATCCATTTCTTTCTTTATTGGTTTGGTTTAATTTGATTTGATATTTGATTTGATTTTTATACTCCCCATCTAACTGATGGTCACTCTGGGTGGTTCACAGATAACCAACAACAAAAACAAATATGGCATAATCAAGTGCATTAGTGAGAAAGATGAGGAGAAAAAGGAAATGGAAAGGAGTGTGCCGTCCTCTCCAACATCTGAGCAGAAGGATAAAAAGGAGAAAGTGACGGTAATAGAGATGGTGGAAATAATTAAGGAGATGAAAGATATCACAGTAGGAAAAGAAAGGGAGGGGTCAGGAAAAGAAGGTCGGAAAGCAATGGATGTGTTCTTAACAACAGAGGAAGGTGGAGTATCAAAGGAGACAGAAAAAGTAGTCGTGATAGAAGAAGAATAGTGGGAGGAAGAAAGTACTGTAGTCCTAAAGTGTTTAAGATACCACAAAAGGATATAGAGGGAAAGAGGGAAATAAAAGGTGCGTGTGAGGAAGAAAAACCAACTGTCAAACCGGTCATTGTGGGGTTGTCTGAAGAAGAATGGACTGTCTTGGTCTATCCGAAACAACACGGTCCTGTGAAATACGTGAACCATTGTCGGAACCTGCAGTTGGGAGAGAAGCCCCCCGAGACAGGGTGGGCTCAACACTCGTGCTGCGGAACAATTTGTGCAGTCCAGAATGGATAGTGTCTGAGGAAGCCAACAGATCAAGAACTGTTCAAGAAAACGTACCGTTAGGCGTCAGGTGTCTAATAAGTCAATTATCAATGTTATGGGACAGTTCCAATATTAATCCAAGTTATAACGACCATATTGAAGTTTTAATTGAGAAAAACCCCGTTGTTAGAAATAAAACGTTACATGAATCTCCTCCCATGTCTTTATCTTCTCCAAAGTTGGAACCGCTGAAGACCTTAGAAGAACCCGATCACAACATTAAATTAAATTAACAAATTAAACTGAATAATAAACATTTAAAACAACTAAAAACAGGCAGCAATTGGGTGAAAAGCTGGTGCTCTCAAGGGTCTTAGGTTGGCAGGTTCTGAATGGGCTGACAGAGGAAAATGTTCCTAAAACTATGCCCGCGTTATTGACTGGATCCAGGCCGAACAGGACATGACTTTTGACATTCCCTGTCTTGCTTTACTGGTTCCAGTGTTGGATGAAAAGCTTCTCCTCCTCTTTGTTGCTGGTGGCCTTCTCTTCCATTTTGCACGCAACCTGAGTCGGTGAGTCCTGGCTTTCTTATACTGTTTCTCGAGTATCTCTTTCTTTAATTCATGGCTATGGGAAAAACAGTTCTGCATATAAACAGAAGTTACACTTAATTTCAGCATGATTTAAGGCAAGCTACTGTATCCAGGACAATAGCTGCACCTTTCTTGTTTCTTTACTTTCAAGCAAACCCCAATTGTTAGTCTCAACTGAAGGAGGCCCACTAGAGTAATTAGACTTTGGTAAGCCAGCACTTCTGTAAACCTGAGACATTTAATGGGTCTGCTCTGTTTAGGATTAAAATTAGGATTTATCTCAAGAGGAAAGCACGCTGTTAAGAATATTCAAATAGCTATTTCAGCAAAAGATGTAGGTTTTCTAAGCAAACTGTAGGAAGCAAGAGAGGATTTTCCTTTCCAAAACAAACGTGGAATTGCTTTGTTCTGAGATTGTGTAGGTACTTCTCTTCACAGCAAGAAAACCCCAGGATGTAGAAAGTTTTTTCGGGTGGGAGGCTTAGTTTTACATTAAAGTTGTGCCCCGCTTAACGATTACCCCGCATTACGATGAATCCGCTTCACGACGATGTTTTTGCGATCGCAATTGCGATTGCAAAACAATGTTTTAAATGGGTTTTTTTCGCTTTGCGAAGATCAGTTCCCTGCTTCGGGAACCGATTCTTCGCATTACGACGATCGAAACAGCTGATCGTCAGGTTTTCAAAATGGCCACCGGGTGCTCAAAATGGCTCCCCACTGTGCTTAGGGACGGATTCCTCGCTATACAGGCACCGATAATGGCCACCGGGTGGAGGATCTTCGCTGGATGGTGAGTTTTTAGCCCATTGGAACACATTAACTGGGTTTTAATGTGTTTCGTTTGGTTTTTTATTTTCGCTTTACGATGTTTTCGCTCTACAATGATTTTGCTGGAACAAATTGATGTCATTAAGCGAGCACCACTGTATTGTCTTGTCACCTCCTTTTGTGCATCCACAAATAAAAAGGATGTCTTCATCACTACATATTCTATGGATTTCTTTATGTAAGCTTTTCTGTGTTGCTGTTACCCATGGCCAAGTCACTTCTGAGTTACGTGCAACCACGTTCAGTGTTCAAGGAATGAGTTAGCATTGACACCCCCAATCCACTAAGTTTCCATAGCTGAGTGGAGATATGAACCCAAGTGTTTTGAGTCCTAGCTTAACACTCTAGCCAGTACACATTGGCATTTGATCTTGTGTATAGGGTGCTTCATAAAATACGCAAGATTGTGCTTGGAACATAAAGAAATACTGTATCAGTGAATGCATTATTTAAAACAGTTAAGCTTCTATCCTGTTCATCATGGGCAGAGCATAATGGGCTGGCCAGGGAGCCCCTGTGATCTCACACGGTCTCTGACTCATCATTGGGCCATTTAGCAGGGTGCAGGTTTTTGCAAGAGCTTCGTGGCACAGTGGTTAAACTGCTGTACTGCAGCCAAAAGTGCTCACGACCTGGGGTTCAGTCCCAGATAGCTGGCTCAAGGTTGACTCAGCCTTCTATCCTTCCGAGGTCAGTAAAATGAGTACCCAGCTCGCTGGGGGGGGGGCAATGTGTAGCCTGCATAATTAATTTGTAAACCGCCCAGAGAGTGCTTGAAGCACTATGGGGTGGTATATAAGCAGCACGCTTTGCTTTTTGCTTTGCAAGGAGCTACCAGCTTTATTGATTAGATCTGATTTCTACCCTGTCCTCTCCCCATAGAGAGACTCAAGGTGTCTTACAAATGGTTTAAGATATGTACAAACAGTTAAGATTGTGAAAATCACATCATTAAAAAAAATTATCTAAAGACGCAGACTAAAATCCTTTAAAAAACATTTTAAAAAGAGAAACTAACAATTCCCTGCTTAAAATCACTGCCTCAGCAACAGTTTGCGTATTAAAAACCTGCCCTAAAAGAAGGTGTTTCCTGCTAGTAGAAGGAAAGAAGGGGAGGGGAGGGCTGGCTTGGCCTGCAGCGGAAGGATGCTGACCAGAACATTAAAATAATAAAAGTAGACTTCAAAGCAGTGGTTCCCAGCCTTGGGTCCCCAGATGTCCTTGGACTACAATTACCAGAAACCCCAGCCAGTGGTGAAGCTTCTGGAAGTTTTAGTCCAAGAACATCTGGGGACCCAAGGTTGAGAACCACTGCTTTAAAGCATGAAAGCATACAATGCAGCTGTGATGGAGCAGCTTGATACCTTTCCCATAGGCTGAAATTCATGTCACCTGAGTAGGACTTAGAATTTAACGAAAGGCGGTGCTTGTGGATTAGAATCAAGGTGAAGGCCTTCATGCCATAAGGCTGTGGGGAGGTGGGCCTTGAGGCTTTCAGCGTACATGTGTTCACATTTCTGTGTACTTGAAACCCCTTGTCCTTAATTGCAACATTTTAACTGCATTCCTCTGTTCTTCCCAAACAGAAGTGTTATATTCTATTATTCTGCTGGAGTAGCGTTTGGTGTTTTTGCCACTCTAATCTTTCTCCTTTTGATGCTTAAAAGATTTATTCCCAAGGTAGGCACACTGTTGATCACGTAAAATAAGGAGTGTTTGCCATGTAGCTCGGTTTTTCATTGTTACCTGAGCATTTAAGTCAGTCTCTAGGCTCGAAAAGTAATGCTGAAATATAATTGGTTCCAAATTGCTTTGTCTGAATTTATGGGATTAAAGTGGTGACTTGTTTATATAACCCATTCTTCGGATGTAACAGTTGCTTACTTTATTCTAATCTCTTACTTGTTTGGCATTTAAATGCTCAGTGGACACATCTAAGGCAAGAGCATGTTGTAAACCAGGAGTGGGGTACCTTCAGCACCCCAAGTCTTTTGGACAACAATTTCCAAAATCCTCTTCATCGTCATCGTAGAACTGCAGAGCTCCCTGGGCCATACGGACAAGGGTGTCTGGAAATGGAAATCCAGACTATCTGGATGACTGTATTTCACCCCATATGATTAAGATTTTGTATGATGATGACTGTCTAGAAGGGCGGGATATAAATCCAATAATAAATAAATAAATAAAATGATGATGATGATGAATTAGGCGCTCCGGACATATCCTTGTTTTAATTTGGGATTATTTTGCCACAGGACTCTCGTCATTATCCTGCAAAAGAATGAACTGAAAAAGCCAAATACACAGGAAACACATGTTGTCTGTGATTAAAACTTTTCACAAGGGTTTAAACCTGGTTTGGGAAAAGAAAATATTTGCAGACAGTAATTAGTTTACAGTAACACACACACACCCATCCATGGGATCAGAATCTGCTGATTTGCTTATCCAGTCTGAAAATATTAAATATATTAAATGAAACAATCGTAGAAATATATATTTCTAAAGATGGAGCTACTAGAATGGGCCACTAGAGGGAGTCAGACCATGCTATGGATAGTATTTGCTATAATCCACATTTTCCAGCATTCACCTGGGGGGGGCTTGGAAACAATTCCCCATAGACATGGGGAGGCTACTGTATTTCCCCTGCTTCAAAGCTGGTCATTCAAGGTTGGCAGTGGCTTCTTGGTACCTGTATTTGAGGGTTCTCCAAAGCTAAGTTTGAGGATTCCATAGCTGAGCGTGTCCCAAAATAACCACCTAGTGGTGGGGGTGGAATTGCTGCTGGCAAAACATCCCATATTGGAAATAGATACAGTGGTGTCTCGCTTAGCGAAGTTAATCGGTGCAGCAAAAATCACTGCTAACCAAAAACATCGCTAAGCAATTTTAAAAAGCCCATAGGAATGCATTGAAACCCCTTCAATGTGTTCGTATGGGCAAAAAACTTACCTTTAAGTGAAAATCCTCCATACGGCAGCCATTTTTGCTGCCCGGTATGTGAGGAATCCGTCCCAAAACACAGCGGGCGGCCATGATTTTTACCCGGTGGCCATTTTGGAACCGCCGATCAGCTGTAGGAAAAAGATCGCTATGTGATAATCGGTAAGCGAACCAGCTTACCGATCATCGCAAAGTGATTTTTTCCTATTTCAAATTGCAATGCGATCGCAAAATCGATCGCAGATTCTTCGTCGTATGCAATTTCATCGTTAAACGGGGCGCTCATTAAGCGAGGCACCACTGTATGTGAATAAAACTAAAGCTATAGAATCAGCAGTGCACAAAACACCATCTTCTTGCATGTAATACAGTGTCCTTTGCTCTGTTAGGCCAGCCTAATCTCCTGCATCATTCTTTTCCCATGTCTCATGCTACCTGCTCATTATTGGGGGTGGGGGTACCTGACATCTCACCCGTGATTCATAAAATACTCCAATCATCATGGACTGGCCGCATTTGCCACCGGAGCTACCTGCCGCCTACCTTTGCTTCTTCAGTTGTTTTTTAAAAGAGGTATCTGTGAATATGAATCTAAGTCTTATAGTTGAGTCTCAGAGCAGCTCTCTGCCTGTGTTAATAGACATATTCCTGAAGGCATGCTCTCATGAATATCCACCATAGCTTCATCCAAGCAGAGGGGAGGTACCAGGCAGTTCTGGTGGATGGTCCTGCCTCCTTCATGCCTTCTTTCAACACATGGAGGAGATGTGTGATAGAGTTGTTCAATCTAATAGAAAATGCAATATGGAGTCCTTGTTGGCTTCACCAGTATTGGCTTTAGATCTCAAACTGTAAGGTGATCTTTATGTGTGGGTTGCCATCAACTTTTTTGGTCAGCTATGCTCAGTAAACATTCTGTTGTATTTGTGTGGTAAACCCTGCAACATGTACGGCTCAGTGCTCACCCCGTCCTTGTCTTTTTTTCTCTTTCCCTGTAGTTAAGTACCTTCTGGATTTTAATGAGTGGATGCTGGTTCTCTTCACTCTACTTTTTTTATATTTTGAAAGAAGATTTGAAGTGGCTGTGGTATAATTCTGCACACTACATACTGGGTAAGAGGAAGGATAGAAATATCATAGCTTAAGACATGACTAGGGTCATCCTCTTCCCTTGAGCAACATGGCTGCCTCCCTTCATAACACAGAAAGCTTATAAAATAAATGACATTTTTCATTGGAGATTTCCAAATGAGGCAGCTTTTCATTTTTTGAGGGAAGTATCTCTTTCGGTAACCCGGCAGAGCAGTCAGCAGGAAGTGATACTATTGAGGAGAGAGACTGCTTTTGAGCCACTGGATTGAACCCTGGAAACATACCCTGTAGCAGAAACATTGCAAGATAAAAACCTCACATTCTGTTAGAGGAAAAAGGGTTCATGCAAAGTACCATGAAGCAGTAGACTCTTATCCTGAAATCAAACATTGCACACACAGACATGTATATAGATTGTCATAATCTTAGACCTGCAAATCTGGAAGGGACCCTCAAGGGATCATCCAGTCCAGCCCTTGTCAAGGAGGCACAGATGGGGGGAATCGAACTCCGAACCTTTGTCTCTGCAAGCCTGTGACCTAAAACACTGAGCTATCCAGGCAGTTCATGCAACATACAACCTACCAATGTCCAAACTAGATATTTTTACTGCTTTCCCAAGGAGTCTGACCCCTGACTCAGACCCTGACAGTCCTGATGCCACTGTAGTTTTCCCCATCCTGGTGTTCTCCAGATGTTTGACGCTATGAATGTTTGGGATTTCATGTCATCCTGACCAGTGGGCAGAAATGACAGGAGCTTTAGGCCCAGACATCTGCAGAACAACCACAGGGAATCTTGCTCAATTGCCTGTGAAGTGTGGGAACACTGACACCTCAGGAGCATCTGAGAATGGCGATGTATGGTAAGTCTTAACTCCTCCTTCCTTCAGAGATTCTAAGATGGCTGATTGGTTCACTTTGGGGTTATAGGAAAGCAGTCCCTCCCACCGGAACAGGAAAAGCAGACTCTCAGGCAGAGACCACCTTTTGCAGAACAGATTACCTGAAGGTTGTTCCTCCTGAAAAGTATTATGTATGTCAGGGATAACATGAGTTGTTGTTAATGCTGCCAGTCATGTCACTTAGGGGAAGTCATCCCTTAGGGTTATATGAGCCTTCTGGCGCAGTGGTTAAGCTGCAGTACTGCGGCCAAAACTCTGCTCACAACCCAAGGTTCAATCCCAGGTAGCTGGCTCAAGGTTCACTCAGCTTTCCAGCTTTCCAAGGTAGGTAAACTGAGTACCCAGCTTGCAATATGTAGCCTGTGCAATTAACTTGTAAACCACCCAGTGAGTGCTTTAAGTACTGTGGGGCAGTATATATATGCAGCGCAGAACACTTCACTTTTGTTTGCTTTACAGTCATTGCATAGTGGGGCCTTAAAGCTGCAACCCGTGCCTGCTTACTTTGGAGTAAGCGACAATAAACATCGGGAAATGTGCTTCTGAATAAATGTGAGTTGAGATTGAGTTGAGATTGGACTTCATGAGTAAGTCATGTTCTAACAAGTGTCCGGATTACCCATTCAGGTTTTAAAAGGTACGCTTGGGTTTATTCGGTAACATAGAAGCTGCCATTGGAAAAGGATCGTGAACTTGCTCTCAGAGTTTCCTGTTCAGTTTATATACCTTTAAAAGAAATTGGCATTTTGAATAACTTCAGAAAAAGGGCTGGCCCCTCTTTCTGCCTTTGGCCGGGCCACATGTGTGCCATAGCAGCCTTCCAAAGGCAACATGGAAAAAGGAAGGAAGAACTTATTTCCCCAGCAGTTAAAGTGCCCTTGCCTGCTCCCAGAAAGCTGACACTTACCACAGGGAAACAGCTCGGGAGCTATTCATAATCTGGGAAGAAGACTATGGTCGCATGATTTCTGCCTTGATGGCTAACATGGCTTTGTGTTTCCTTTCTTTTCCTTCTCCAGGGTATGTCTTGACAGTTGGGTTGTTCAGTTTTACTGCTTGTTACCTGCATGGACCTCTCCACAGCGTGCAAAGCATGAACCTTCTGATGTGGCTTTTGCAGCTTCTAGGCTTGGTCTTCGTTTATTTTGGCATTGCTATCCCTCAGGTTGCCTATGTGATAATAGCCACTATGCTCTTTTCAAAAATCCTGCAGTATCTTCTTCAAATAGTCTGCTATTTGGGCAGGTTGGTATTATTTGGACTATTAAGCTCCTGTATATTGAAGTCATTCCACCCGCCCCATCCTGAATTAATTAAGCAATCAGGCAACCCAGGTTGTTTGCAGTGTATCGTAGCAAAACAGTAGTGCTAACAAACATGGTAGCCCCAGGTTAAATCCTCCTGCTCTGAATCATATGGGCTAGTTTGGATGACATCATGCCCAAAGTGAAGTGCTATATGTCTGCCTCAGCAGCAGCCAGTCAGAGAGGGCAAGGTGGGTAAATGTCACCAGCTGAATTAAGGAATGCCATAGGGGTCACACCAGGGTTCCATCGTCATTACAATACTGACCTAAGACTTAGGAGCTCTGCCACCAAGCTACGAAACTGAGCAGACCAAAATCTCCCAATGAAGGAGACCTACCTCACAGTATTGTTCTGAGGATACGGCAAAGAAGAGTCATCTGTGCTGCCTGGAGCTCACTGGAGGAAGATGGGATAGAGAGGTCACTATAAATAAATGTTATGGAGAGGGGCTTGACGTGGGTTGCACAGTTTTTGGTAGAGCCATCCCGTGCTTTCTGCAGTACGCCTTTGTGTGTGTTGTTTGTCATAGTTGATGAAGAGGATAGGGCTTGTTTTGCTTTTCAGACATACTATTGTGTGGCTCTGGGTGATGTAGCACAGGGGTGGCCAGATTTGAACTTGTGGGCTCTTGGTTTGTTTTTAATGATTACACAAAAGGTCTTTCATTAGGCCATGGCTTTGCCATCAGCTGCTGTTTTACGACTTACAAGAAGAGGTTATTTGTTTTCCATTCTACTGATTTAAGAAGGTAGACATTAATCGAGGATCATGGGGGGGGGGGGAGAAAGACGCAATATCTCTTTAGAACACACATAAACAAAACACAATTGTTTTAATACTAATTAGTTTCTTACCTTTACTATTTACACTTCTTGTGAGGTAAAGGAGCAGAAAAAGGCTGAGACGGAGATAATCTTGTAAGATTTGTTACTTGCTCTTACTGTTGAGTAGAATGAGAGTAGCCAAGGACCATTTTTTGGACAGCCTTGTCGAAGGTTGATTTCAGAGTGGATATAAACAAGTTTGATCATACTGGAGTGCAGGACACGTCATAATAGATTCTAGCTACAGGAAGCCAGATTTAGGCTGAATATCAGGAAAAACCTCTTAACTATTAGAGCAGTACAACAATGAAACCAGTAACCTGTGGAGGTGGTGAGTGCTGTGATACTGGAAGCATTCAAGAGAAAATTGGACAACCCTCTGTCAGATCTGGTTTGACTTTGATTCTTGCATTAAGCAGGGGGTTGGACTCAATGGCCTCATAGGTTTTTTCCAACTCAATTATTCTGTGAGTCTAAGTTCTAATTTGTATTAATGAAGTTGCACCCAGTTGTCTTAGCATGATCTAGCAAAACACATCTCTGACTGAAAATCCCTTGGTAAACAGTATCTGGGTTAAAGAGAGGGAAGGAAAGGTAATTTGAGTACAGTGGTGCCTTGCTTTACGATTGCCCCGCATTACGACTAAACCACATGATGATGATTGTTTTGCGATCGCAATTGTGATTGCAAAATGATGGTCTGAATGTTTTTTTTTTCGCTTTGCAATGATCGGTTCCCTGCTTCGGGAACCGATTCTTCACAAAAACGACAATTTTCCTCCAGCTGATCGGTGGTTTCAAAATGGCAGCTGGGTAATTAAAATGGCTCCCTACTGTTTTCTGGGACGGATTCCTCGCTGCACAGGCACCGAAAATGGCCGCCCTATGGAGGTTCTTTGCTGGATGGTGAGTTTCCAGCCGATTGGAACGCATTGAAGGGGTTTCAGTGCGTTTCAATGGGCTTTTTATTTTCGTATTACGACGTTTTCATTCTACAGTGATTTCGCTGGAATGAATTAACATCATAATGTGAGGCACCACTGTACTAGTCCAGAAGTCTCCCCTGGATATCTTGAAGTATTACTACTACTACTACTACTACTTCTTCTTCTTCTTTACTTTTTGAAGGGAGGGTTCTTTAAATCAGATATGGGGAATCTATAGATCTATAGATGACCATGTGCCCTGTGCCATGACATGGGTTGGTGCCTCACTGTTTGATGGCTTTCCTTTTTTGTGTAATTTCCCCTCTGTCCTTATTATAAATGATTGAAATCCCTTTTCTCAAGCTTAGGATGTGATCAGATGGGCACTTAGCCCACTGTTTTCTCACTTGCATGAATGGTTCATTAGTTCACTCCTTTTTCTGATGATCACAGCAAACCAGCCCATCCCTCAGAACATTCCAATCTGCACCTTTGTGGGCCTCTGTCAGCAGCTTTTACTATTTCGGTAAGATTGGTCTGGCTTGGACCGTTTCCAGCTTGTGTGGTTTGTGGAAACGAGCCAAGGTGAGCCTTTGCCTGAAGGCTCCTTCCACTGTCAGTTTGCCATACGGTGAAGTGGCTCAAGAAGAGATATGTTGGCAAATTAAAGACTTCCTCCACTCCTCTGGAAAGGCAGAGGAAGTTTTTTTTAAATTGTTCAGATTATTAGAGCAGCACAGACACGCTGCATCACTTTTTTTAAAAAAAAAGGAAGAAGGAGGAGACAGAAGGGGGCAACGAGGAGCTTCCCTCCCCTGTGCCTTAGAGTAGATGCCAGATGGGAAGCTGCCTGCAGCTGAATCTACAGTGGACCCTCGACTTACAGACAGCTCGACTTACAGACTTTTCGAGTTATAGACTTCTCTGGTTGAAAAATTTAGATTCGACTTGCAGCCAGAGAATCGACTCACAGACCAGAAAAAAACCAAAATGGAATAAAAATAGAATAAAAACCACTGGTTATGGGATTAATCGGTTTTCAGTGCATTGTAGGTCAATGGAGATTCGACTTACAGACTTTTCGACTTGCAGCCAGCATTCCAATACGGATTAATTCCTTAAGTAGAGGGTCCACTGTACCTCTGAGTACTGGTGTTTGAAATGTATTTTCAGACATTCTGTTCCAATGTTAACTCTTCTATAAGCAGTGCTTTAATGCCAATACTGTGCAAGACACAAAACAAAATGGATTTGGCCCCAGTCTTGTTGTTTAGTCATTAAGTCGTGTCCGACTCTTCGTGATCCCATGGAGGAGAGCACGCCAGGCCCTCCTGTCTTTCACTGCCTCCCAGAATTTGGTCAAATTCATGTTGGTTGCTTCGATGACACTGTCCAACCATCTCGTCCTCTGTCGTCCCCTTCTCCTCCTGCCTTCACACTTTCCCAACATCAGGGTCTTTTCCAGGGAGTCTTCTCTTCTCATCAGATGGCCAAAGTATTGGAGCCTCAACTTCAGGATCTGTCCTTCCAGTGAGTACTCAGGGTTGATTTCCTTCAGAATGGATAGGTTTGTT